TATCAGCTGATCCTGTGGCGCGAGAAGCCCAGCGATCCGATACAAGTGTTCGAGTTGAACACCACCACCTATGGACTCCGATCCAGCCCGTATGTCGCCATGCGAACCCTCCTCGAACTCGCTGAGAGAGAGCGCCTAAGATACGCTCGGGGGGCTTCTATTTTGGAGACCTCGGTCTACATGGACGATATTTGTACGGGTGCCTCCACCGTCGAGGAGGCTCTCGTATTGCGAGACGAATTGATTGCCATCCTGAAGTCGGGAGGTTATGAGCTGCGCAAATGGTTGTCGAACTCCCCTCATATTTTGAAGGACCTCCCTGGAGAGGATCAACAAGACCCTCATCTATTCGAGCACCCTGACAATCCTAATTTGTTGACTGTGCTTGGCATTCAATATCAGCCTGTTCAGGATACCTTCACGTATCGAGTCAAGCTCGATCCCCCCCTAAATCATGGACCAAGCGCTCTGTGTTGTCAACTGTAGCTCGCACCTTCGATCCTAATGGTTGGATTACTCCGGTCATCTTTTTTGGCTAAGTGTTTCCTTCAAAAACTCTGGATATCCGGGTTGGGCTGGGACGATCCTATAAGCGGTGCTCTCTTGCGAGAGTGGCTCTCAATTGTGTCCTCCCTTCCAGACATCGACCGGGTCTCCATGTCAAGGTGCTTCCTCCCTCCAGGGAAATGCAGGGTTACCCTGCACGGATTTTGCGACGCCTCTGAGAAGGGTTATGCTGCTGTTGTATATTTGCGGACGGTGAGCTCTTCTGGCCATACTTCCGTCCATCTCGTACTTGCTAAAAGCAAAGTGGCTCCCATTAGGTCCCGCTTAACTATTCCTAAGTTGGAACTGTCTGGAGCTGCTCTTCTCACGCGACTGCTCAACCACGTTCACTCCTCCTTGAAGTCGGTAATCGACATTACGGACGTCTACGCTTGGTCGGACAGTGAGATAGTACTTTTGGCTCTTGGTTGGCTCCGAGCGGCACCTCACAATCTTGAGGTCTTCGTGTCGAATCGAGTGTCCCAAATCCAGAATTCTGCCACTTGTCTAACGTGGAGACATGTCCCAGGGGAGTTGAAGACCGGCAGACTGTGCTTCTCGTGGCTGTGAAGCCTCCTACTTGGTTGATCACCCGCTGTGGTGGGGGCCCGGCTGGTTAACTGAGTCTCAGGCGTTCTGGCCCCAGAACAAATACTCTGAACCAATTGAATTGCCTGGCCTACGAGCCCGAGTAGGAGTGGTCAAGGATAAGCCCACTCGTGATCTCTCCTTACTAGAACGGTACAGCTCTCTCGACAAGCTCTTGGGAGTAACTGCTTGGTTGCGTCGATTTGTCCGCAACTCGAGAGACCCATCTAACCGAATATCTGATTCCGCCTTGTCCCCTAGCGAGCGGCGCGAAGCCTTGATGCATTGGACCCGTATGATCCAAGCGGAGCATTTCGAGCTCGTGATTGATACCTTGAAGCGGAGCTTAGTTGTCAAGGGTGCGCTGGCCCGCCTGAACCTCTTCCTGGATGACTCGGGGATGCTTCGCGTGGGCGGACGTTTGAAAAATTCTCAACTGCCGTACGAGGCTCGACACCCTCTACTGCTCCCCAAGGACGGCGCCTTTGTTCGGTTGCTGGTAACTCACTACCATGTTCAGAATGCCCACGCTGGGTGCAACGCTCTTTCGGCCATTTTGCAGCGGGAGTTTTGGATTTTGGCGGGTCGACGCACCATTCGGAGCGTCATCTTTAAGTGCATATCTTGTTATAAGTTGAAGGCCCCCATATCACAGCCGATGATGGGCGACTTACCACCCGACCGCGTCAGGGCCATCCGACCATTCGCGGGAGTCGGAACTGACTTCGCTGGCCCCTTCCTCGTCAAGTCCTCTAACCTTCGTAACGCGCGTGCTCATAAGGCCTATCTGTGCGTTTTCGTGTGCCTCTCCACTAAGGCTGTTCACTTAGAACTTGTAAGTGCCCTTAGCACGGAGGCCTTTTTGTCCACACTGGGTCGCTTCGTATCGCGTCGCGGTTTACCGGACCTGATCCGGTCGGATTGCGGAACGAATTATAAGGGTACTGATAGGTATTTGAAGGAGGTCGTTGAATTTCTGTCTAGCAACAGGACCTATTTAACTACTGCGATGTCCAAGAAGGGCATCCAGTGGAAATTCGACCCTCCGGCTTGCCCACACTGGGGCGGTATTTTTGAGGCGGTGGTGAAGGTTGCAAAGACGCATCTCCGTCGCGTTATTGGCGAAACTATTTTGACATTTGAAGAGCTTGCCACTGTATTCTGTAAAATTGAAGCAGTCCTCAACTCTCGACCCCTCTGTCCTCTCTCGTCCGATCCGAATGATTTAGAGGTTCTAACCCCTGGCCACTTCCTGATAGGCCAGCCGCTTAACGCCCTGCCCGAGTACCCCTTCCGGGAAATAATCTCTTCGCGGTTGAGCAGATTTGACATGCTGCAACAAATAACTCAGAGTTTTTGGCACCGATGGTCTCTGGAGTACCTACATCTTTTGCAGCAGCGCGTTAAGTGGTCTGACAAGACGGACCCCCCTCGGGTTGGAGACCTCGTGTTAGTTAAAGAACCTAACGCCTCGCCCTTGTATTGGCGCCGTGGGCGTATTGTCAAGTTGTCGTATGGACCGGATGGGATCCCTAGGGTGGCCGAGGTTTTGGTTGGAGATTCGGTTTTGCAACGTGCCGTCTCTACCCTATCCCGCTTGCCAATTTACTCGCGGACCTAGATCCTCATGTCCGGGACGGGGGCTTGTTTAGGCCTAATTTAACGTTTGGCGGCATGCTTCGGCGCTCGGGTCGAGCGGGAGGCTAGCCTGACGGCTGAGGCGCGGGGGTGCGGGCTGGTGCGGCGTCCGGCCGCGCCGGCGTCGGCGTTTTTGCGAACACTTGCCGCAGAGCGTGGAACTGAGTAGTTGCGCGTCGTGTTAATAGTTTAGTCGCCCGCTGTCTCTGACGCCTATACTTCGCGAACCTGAGTTGTTTGCAACGCGGCCCGGTGATATTGCATTTTTCACAAAGGTCGAGTTTGTTGTAACGCGAGTTCGGTTAAATCTTGTTGGATTTTATTGGATTAACCTAATGACAATTGACTTGACTCCAATTAACAAGTGAGAAACGAGTGTAATTTCCTAGATTCTTAAATTTTTGTGACGGACTGCCACTTCGATATAAAGAATAAAGGTGAAGCCTTGGGATCGGCGGTTCTGCAACCAGCGGGAAGTCAGGTTACATAATTTAACACAATCACAACACAACACAGTCAAGCACGCCCACACTTACACCTGAATCTTCCTAGGGTTGACCCTACTTCGAAGAAATAGGTAAGTTTTGTTTGGTTCCCTTTTTACCGCTAACGTGTAATATTCCACAAGCCATTTAGGCCGACCTCCTGTTACTCGTCGAGTGGAACCCCTGATGGGCCCGGGTCCCAAGACCTTGCCCGGGTAACTAGAGGCCGTAACAGTTAATAAATATAATATATTATTTCAATCATTATAAAAGTAATAAAAAATCATTATAAATAAAGAAAGTACTACATATAAAAAGTCCGTTTTTCTCAATCGATTTCGCACGAACTATAATAATTATTTATATTTTTGGTACATAACCGATATCGTATTATATTTCGAATAGGAGTTATTTTGTTCCATAAATAAAAGATAGGTAAGTTGACTACAGCGCATTTATCCGATTTCGGCATAGCTCATCAAAACAAAAATAAAAAAAAATGTGAAATAAGAATAGAAAGAGAGTTGATCGACTAAGTAGATGAATTTGTTTATTTGGGATGCGTATTTAGCAGGGATGGGAGATATGATAATGATAACAATAATGACGCTGACGTAACAGTTATGTGACAAAACTGCTACGTCGGCGCAGTCAGTCAGCGCCCTGTCAAGAGGTGTGAGCGCCATGCCTAGGCAAAATTGTGGATGCAATGGTCCGTTTGTGCATATGACCCAACCACGAAACGGTGCCGGGCTTGGGCGTCTCCCGTTATTTGGCGCCCATAAAATGGATGATGAGAGGAACACAGAGAGGAACGTGCATAGGACCGCGCCTGGGGTCGCCGGGGTGCGTCTGGTGCTGACGCTGGACGGCAGCATGCGGGCCGCCAGACGAGCGCGAGGAGCTGCACGATCACCTAGCAGCCCCCCGCATCCATCACCTCCACCAGAAGGCTTGATGTCAGATGGGTCTTCTCGGACTCAGCAAGCGGCACCCGCCGCTGGTGGAGCACGTCGCATGCGTTGGACAAAAGATATGAACGAAAACGCATTGCGGGCGTACTATAGGGCGAAAGGGGAAGAAACTGTGAGAATAGCGTATAGGGCTCGGATGCATTGCGTTTTTGCTGAGCTGGAGCCGTCTATTCCCGTCACGGAACAAAACCTGGCAGACTGAGTTCGGTACATCATGCGCTCGAAAATATTTGATGATGCCGAACTCGAACGACTACGACGCGAGGTTATTCCATCGTCGAATGAATCGGCTATGGCTGGGGATGCAGCTCCACATGCGACAGACCAGCATCCACACGTGGAAGCCGCCATGGATCTTCCAGTTGTGGTTGATTCGACCGACGATGAAAAAGTCTCCCACGAACTAGAGCAAATGAGGAGCATATTGGATGAGGCGATTTTGAAAACGCGCAGCACCCCTCTCGAAAATCGACCGCGACTTCCTTGCATACCCCTAAGCAAGCGAAATAGGGCTGTCATCAGGGCTCTTAACCCAATGCTGGTGACCTATTTGGAAGCCAGCCGGGACCTTTGCGAGAAGGACTCAATTCTTTTTGGCGCCGCAGTGGCAGTTTGCCGTATTATTGGCGCCAAACTTCCCATGGCTGTACGCGCTACTAGACAAAGTAGCGCCATCCCAGCCTAGAAAAAAAGAATCAAGGCCCGTATCGCAAAAGCAAGGGCCCTTATCGGCAGACTGACAAGCTTCAGGTCGGGTAATAATAGAGTTATGATGGTGTTTGCTGGGACAAATATCAGTTTGCCCCAGTCGAATATCACGCAGAAACTAACGGAGCGCATAGACGACTTGAAGCAAAAGATCGCTGCTTGGGGGAAGCGGATTCGACGATTTACTGAGAGGTCAAGGCGGTTCAACCAGAATCTTCTCTTCCAGAGTGATCAGAAGAGGCTCTATAAATCATTGGGACGACTAAAGGTATGTGGATCGGGCCCAGGACCGGATCAGGCTGACATTATCGCATTCTGGCGTGGCCTGTGGTCAGAGCCCGTAAACCGCAGCGAGGGTCCTTGGATGGAAGTTGTGGCGAGCCAGGGTGCTAGTGTTACGCCTATGGACCCCATCACCATAACGCCTGAAGACGTGGCTGAGGCGGTCCGTAGGGCCCCGAACTAGAAAAGTCCGGAGCTCGACGGGATGCATCATTACTGGCTGAAGGGGTTCATAGCGCGTCACGCTGTGCTCTCCCGACAGTTTCAAAAGGCTCTCGACCAGAAGTCGCTCCCGAGACTCTTCACTACTGGGATCACTCACTTGGTTCCTAAAGATACCACAGACCCGAGTAAATACCGCCCCATCACGTGTCCACCCACCATATATAAGACACTGACATCCATTTTGAGCGCGAGAATCACTCGTCACCTGGAGCTAAACCAGGTGATGTCACGCGCTCAAAATGGATGTCGGGGTGGTGTTCGTGGAACTAAGGAACCACTCCTCATTGACGCGGTTATAGGCAAAGTTGTGAAACGCAACCGTCGGAACTTCTCTGCCGCCTGGATAGACTACAGAAAGGCGTTCGACTCGGTGCCCCATACATGGCTAAAGAGAGTCCTCGAGCTGTACAAAATAGACTGTACAGTTAGAGACTTTCTCGAGCAGTATATGGTGCAGTGGAGTACGATCCTTTGTCATCTGGGCGAGCGGATGATGGCTGCGGAGACCACATAAGGATAAGAAGGGGTATCTTCCAAGGCAATTGTCTGAGGCCAATCTGATTCTGCCTCTCTCTGAACCCTCTCAGTACCTTACTGGAGGGCTCCGGGAGGGGATTTCAGCTACGGAAAGGAGGGACAAAAGTGACCCACCTTTTCTACATGGACGACCTCAAGCTATTTGCCTCCAGACGCTCCCATCTTAAGGAATTGCTAAACATCACTTGTGAATTTAGCAATTCTATTGGAATGGAACTGGGGTCGGATAAGTGTGCGGTCCTTCATGTTGAAAGGGGAAGGGTTACTAACTCTAAGGGCATAGACTTGTCTATGCCCGTCAACTTAATGACCCGTTCCGAGGCTGAAACAAACCGATACCTGGGTATGTCACAGAACATCGGTATCGATGAGGCTGGTATGAAACAGTCAGTTTGCGACATGTTTTATGCACGCTTGACCAAAGTGCTTAACAGCCTTTTGTCCGGTATGAATAAAACACACGCATATAACGGCCGGGTCATGCCTGTCCTCATTTATACCTTTGGCATACTCAGGTAGACTCAGACCGAACTTAACGCCCTGGATAGAAAAATCCGCACTACCATGACGTCCCATAGGATTCATCATCCGAGATCGTCGTTAATGAGGCTGTACTTGCCGCGAAAGCATGGAGGGCGTGGTTTTCTGAGCGCGCTTACCATGCATAATCGCGAAGTGTGCAGCCTCAGTCATTACTTCCTGACAAGATCGGATGGTCCATTCTATAATGACGTCATTTCTAGTGATAATGGGCTTACTCCTCTATCCTTAGCCAACGAGCAATGGCAGGACCCAGCAGTGCTTAGCATTTCCGACCGGAAGACCGTATGGAAGGAGAAGGAGCTCCACGGGAGGTACTACAGGGCTCTACATGAGCCCTTCGTAGACACAATCGCCTCCCTCAACTGGCTACGTTTCGGTGACCTCTTCGGGGGAAACTGAGGGTTTTGTCTGTGCAATACAGGATTAGGTTATTAAGACCAACAACTATCGGAGATACATCCTAAGGGATGGCACCGTCGACGTCTGTCGAGCTTGTCGCCATCCCGAGGAGTCACTTAGACATGTCGTCTCCGGTTGTTCGGCGCTTTCTAACTCTGAGTACTTGCACAGGCACAACCTAGTAGCTAGAATTCTACAGCAGGAGCTCGCTCTGAAATACGGTCTCGTGGACCGGAAATTGCCGTATTAAATGTACTTGCCAGAAGCCGTGCTCGAAAATTCCCGCGCCAGGCTCTGCTGGGACCGGGTCATCATCACAGACAGGACTATTCTAGCGAATAAGCCTGATATTGTGCTGATGGACCGGGCACGGATGTATCCCTGTATGACGAGAACCTCGTGAAAGCCGAAACAGATAAGCGAACAAAACATCTGGACCTGGCTCACGAGATGACCGACATGTGGGGTGTTCGGCCGGCCGAAATTATTCCTGTAGTCGTCTCTGCGAATGGACTAATCCCAGTCAGCCTCTCGGGTCATCTGAGGCGACTGGGACTCCGTGACGGACCGCTCCGGGCCCAAATGCAGAAGGCAGTGCTCCTTGATACCGCCCGCATCGTCCGCCGGTTTCTTTCCCTTTCCTTCTAACCCTCAGCCGTTTGGTCTCCCCTGCCGAGGGCTTCCATCTGGTTGGATCTTTATTTATTTATGTATTTTTTGTATTTATTTTATTTTATTGATATTTGTGTATATTTATCTTTTCATTTTAATTTATAATTATATATTTATAGAACCCAACCAGATGAGAAAACTATACAGATATCCCAACAATAATAATAATAATCTTTTTTGCATCTTTAAGATTATTATATAAGATACTTATTAAGATAAAGATGTAGAACAACTAGTGAATGGGGCTCTACACTCTATTGTGGAAAGTCAGAATGTGTCAAAAAAGGCACGTATGGCAACTCATGATGCTGTTTTAGTCCCTTCTTTAACCGTATGGTAGTGAAAGTTGGGTATGGCAGAAGAAGCACGAGAGTGGAATAAATAAAGTGAAAATGCGGTCGTTAAGGAGCATATTAGGGCTGAATCTGAGTGACAGGGTGAGAAATTGTGTAATAAGAGAAGAATGTGATATGCAAGATGATATTGTGACGGGGATTAAGAAAGGAATGCGCCGGTGGCTTGGCCATGTAAAAGAATGAATGAGGAAAGGGTGACAAAGCAAATTTATGTTTGATAAGTGAACGGAAGAGTCGGTAAGGGGCAAATAGACGATAGTTTATCGACCAAATTAGCGATCTATTGAAAACGAGAGAAATTAAGAGTACCCTTAACCGACGAGCATGTAAGCGTAGGTATATGGATGTGAAGGAGGCGAAGGAGGTGTGTCAGGATCGTGCCAAATGGAAGTCTTTAGTCTCTGTTTACCTGTCAGGGTGACAGGCGTGAGTGTTTATGTTATGCTATGTTATCAATTAAATTCTCCTACCTACATACCTACACGTTATGTACTACAAAACATCAGGTTAGGGTAAACTCTTTAAAATATGCCCCACGCGGTGACCCCCCTCCCATCTCAAGGCTTTGTATTGACTTCCAACTAGCTCTTTACCGCAGCTTTATCAACATTTAACCAACATCATTTCCATGCCCAAGTTCAGGATCACCTTGTCTGTCAGTGTGCCTGTTTGTCTATCACAAACGTTCTTCTCATAGGTATACTCCGCAAATTATTTACAGTGTTAATAATTATTTATATTTTTGGTACCTAACTATGGAGGTATATTATATTATATTAGGTATATTATATTTAACAGTGGCAGACCCACGCGACAGCTTTGCTGTTGCACGTATGGGCCGACTCAAATCGGGGTGGTATCATGACCTCACAGAATACCGGCGTGAAGTGGCACCAGACGAAACACGGAAGCAGTGTGCAGGAGACCGGAGGCCCAAATTCCACATGGTAGCGGAATTAAATGTTAAACTACCCCAGGAGGGTACCAGCATCCCTCGCTGAGCATCCACAACCAAGTTACTCCACTCCTGAGCGTGGGTGCTCAGGCTGCCCCACGTATTCTGGAGGGGGGGGGCGAAATTCCGCTCAAGACTACAACTGCTCGGGGCAAACGGAGCAACAAGACCAAGGCGACCCCTGGCACGTTAACCGTGAATTTATGCAATATCAGGGGAATTCACTCTAATCTAAACGCCGTCCACTACCATCTCGAGACGGAGAGGCCGGCTCTGCTCTTTCTGACAGAGAAGCAGGTGTCCTCTCCGGCTGATGTCACGTATCTCTCCTACCCGGGGTACAAACTGGAACACTCCTTTGTGCCTCGGGCTGAAGTTTGCGTTTACGTCAGAGAGGACATCTGTTTCTGTCTGTGTCTGTCATCTGTCCATCCTTTGGTTACGCGTAGACAGCGACGACCATCCGCGTGTCTACCGATGCCTCTATAGATCCCATAGAGGTAATGCCGAAACAGATCAACTCTTCGACAACGTCCAAATGGCTACAGATTCGTTGCTACAGCAGATCCCATCCGTAGAGATCGTGATCCTCGGCGACTTTAACGCCCATCACGCCAAATGGCTTGGTTCACGTTTAAACGATCATGTGGGGAGATCTGTACATGATTTTGCCTTAACATATGTTCTGACACAACTGTTTACTTCACCTACGCGGATTCCAGATGTGGATTCCCTGTTGGACCTTTTGCTGACCTCTCACCCGGACGGATATTAGATTTCCGTCGACGCCCTTTTAGGCTCCTTGGACCAACGGATCACTCACGCTGAAATCGCATTTGCATTCTGCAGGCTGCCGCCGTGTTTGGCACTATAGGTCAGCCGATTGAGATAAGATGCGGTCTTTCTTTGCATCCTACCCTTGGGGGCGGGTTTGCTTTTCGCCGGATGACCGCAACGTTGTTGCGGATTCTGTCGCTGATGTGGTACTTCAGGGAATGGTACTTTTTATTCCTACCTCTGTGGTGCCCATCGGAGGCAAATCTCAGCATGATTTGGTTGCTTCTATAAAATTGCATCATGCTACAAGCAGGAGTGCTACCAAGCCTGGGCTGACGCATCAACGTCCCGGGATGAAAACACCAGCGCTCTAAAAAAGAAGTATAATTCCGCTTCCAGGTCTTTCAAAAGAGTCATTGCCAAGGCAAAGTCAGAGCACATAGGCAGAATTGGCGAAAAACTAGTTCATCTTCCTTTTGGAACTCATGCATTCTGGTCTCTTGCCAAGGCTGTCCAGGAGAATTTCTGTCAGCCATCTCTTACATCTCTGCACATGGAGGATGACTCCATTGCAACCAACATGGCCCATACCGCAAAGGAGAAAGCCGATCTGCTAGGCTCTTTCTTTGCGTCCAACTCGACTCTCGATGACAGGACGTACGCCGCCGACCGCCCCGCGGGGTGAGTGCTCCATGCCGGAAGTGCAGTTCACACAGCGCT